CTTTTCTCTGGAATGATCTGTTTTGTTTGGTGAAACCATCTGCGTTCAATCACCCTAAAAGGCTACAGTCACTTCCGCCTGAATGGAGCTCCAGAATCAGACTGACCTGAAGTCAGTTTGTCTGAGGAACAGGTTCTCTACGTGCGTGGCCTCTTTTGTATTTTGCTTTCTGTTTCTTCAGTGTTTCTACCTTTTCTCATTAGATGCGTTACTGTGTCTTTATGTTCATATGTGTGCATTACGGACTTACCTAGTCTGTGAAGTGGAGTGTCTGTATTCTCATTCAAACTAAATAACCACGTATAAATGCTGCTCAATCTAAAGCCTCGGGCTCCTTCACATTTGTTTTTAATCCCTACAGGTCTTTAAAAAGTGAAAAAAAGTGTAACTTTTTAATGTAGCTCACCCGGGTGGCCCCTTAGACAGAGCCGTGTGCGGTGGAGTGCTTAATAAAAAAAAAATCTCTGCATATGCAACCTAAGTCCTGAAGAATGCATGACTAGAAAATAGTCCATGTGGTTCAGCTCAGCTTTAGTGCTAAGTGGAACTGCTTTGTTTATTCTAATTTAACAAGGCACACCAGAAAACTTGCCTGCTGACTCTTCAAAAGCATCGAATGAGCGTAATTACATTTTGGGACAAAATACAGGTGTTAATGGCCGCTAGTCCAGTATGCTTTGCTATGTTTCTATTTAGTTCTGACCAATTGGTGCACTGGTGTCCAGAAAACTGCCGCTTTAGTTTGGAACAATTGCTTTTCCCTTGTTGCTTTTCAGGGCCCCAGAAATGAACAAATGTCAGTGTCTCTGCCTAAAATGTTTTCTGAAGTGACGTAGCGCCGTTGCTCTCCTGTTCTGAGACAGAGAAGAATGATGGTAAATGAAGGGGGATGCAGATGTGACACGGCCTGCTCTTTCCCATCGCTCCTCGATCCCATCACCTCTCCCCCTCTATCCTTACCCACTCTCCTCCAAGCTTCCTTGTCTCTTTCCACCTCCTCGCATTGCATCTCCAGTCAGGCTTTGGACCAGCGCAGCATCAAACTCCCATCTACATGCAGCCTTGACCCTTTCCCTTTCTGGATAAGTCCAACATTGTCCAGGTCCCTTTAAGGAGCAGCTTTCCCTCCAACAACGATCTCTTTGTACTGAAATGGGCCAAAATGAGACCTGCAAGTATTATTTTTCCATATACTTTAATTGGTGTAATGCGAGCAACAATGAGAGTTGTGCAGAAACAGGAGACTTCTTAAGCCACTTTTTTTTTTTTTTTACGTTAATCAACAGACCAACAGGAAAACGTACTGGGACAAGATGATGCAGGCGGTTTTATCTCATCGGAGAATAAACCCCGCCGAGGCATAAACCCCTTGTTTTATTTTTTTTCTTCTCTTCACACGAGCTGTCCAATTATTTCCTGCCCATACACATCGGGGGTATTCAAGCACACATACTGTACATGAGGTAAAGTAAACACCCGTATCTGCACACACCCACCCACACCCCAAACAGAGCAAAATAACAAATAATTGGACAGCTCACCAATGACGGATGGACCATTTTTTGGTATTTGATTAACACCCCCACATCCACTTATGTTGACATTCTTTTGAGCTTCACTGCACATGGCTGAATGTGCTGTGAGTGTCTTTGCTGGGATTCTGAATGTAACTTTTTGCCCTCGAGAAAAATATTTTTGAGTTTTTAAGTCTCCTCTGCCGGCGAAGCGAAGCTTAACGGAATCAGAGATGTAACGCAGACACATAAGCAGGTCATTGTAACACTTGCCAAGCGAGGAATTATGATGAGGAACGGCTGCAATGCGTGCAAAAGACGAGCGTGCTCACATTCACTTTCATCTTATTGCCCTTTTCAAAGATTTTTGAGCAAACTGGATTTACTTACCACGCGTACATCCATTAATCCACAGTTTCGTACAATTTGCAATATCAAAGAATTCTTACAGCACATACAGAGAAATAATGAATCAGATGACACCAAACTCGTAACTAGAAAAGCCCTGATGAAACTCCGTAGCCACGTCAGGCAGATGTTTCCTCCCTGTGATTTGCAGTCGGTCACTGTGTCCTTCAGGTGTTAGTTTAGATTTCCTGCTACCCGATGGGGGGGGGGCTCTGTGGACGTATTGTGTTGCTCAGGCTAAGCAGCACTTTTATGGCCTCTGCATTGTCCTCCTACAACAAAGAGATTTGATGTGAATGGTTTGGAATCGCTGTTTGTGTGCCAGCGGAGAAAGTAACAAGACTGGGATGAACGGCCTCCGCTGTGTTAATGGGAGAAGGAAGGAGACATTTTATATGGGATGTCTGTGTGTGTAACAGCAGCAGCAACACTGCTTCAGGGAGTTTGTTTGATAACTTCTTTGAGACGACATGTCGCGAATATACACGAAAGACCTTCACAAGTTAAGCCCGAGATTTATGAGACTGTATATTAAATAAAGCATTTCCCTTCACAGTAAACCCCTCTGCGTCCATGCCGACATAGCAATGTAGAAACAACCAGCAAGCTCCGTCAATATGCTCCGTCAATGCGGAGCGAGGCTGAATGTTAAACCTAGAGATGACGAATTAAGCGAGAACATCTTCAATGATTGACCAGGCGTCTCCCAGGAGTGAAGCTGGATACACGGTTCATACCAACAGTCTGTGCTGCCTAACAGTAGACATGAACTTGATACCAAGCGCTTAGTGTACATACTTTAAAAAAGGACAAAATTAACATTTCTTGACTCACAAATCTCTGCTAAACAAGACACAGGTTTCTTGTGATACACACAAACACAATGGCTTCTCTGCTGCGATGGCACTGAATCAATATTATGTTCTCTCCGCCCTGCTCTGTTCCTGTTTGCACAGCCCAGTAAATGTACCCACCCAGTAATCTCTAATGGAGGTGGTGTTCCTCTGCTCCGTCCATGTCTCTCTCTCTCTCTCTGTGATCCGCACACAGACTGACTTCACCCTCAGCTCATCTCAGCGGGAGACGCGTTGGACAGGAAGCGCTGACATTAGGCCTGTTCTTAGCCTTGCTGCACACTCAAGTTCCCCTCTCACGCTCTCATTACCCGCTGAAACACGGGTCTCTGGGTCGTTGTCAGCTTCAGTGTTGATGAGAGCCACCGTTTGCATGTACAAGCCACCTGGGAGAACAACCATTCCTGACCCTGCATTCAGGCATGCATTGGCCCCACAGACTTTCACTCCGAGGACGCAACAGAAACGTCATGTCATATTTTTTATCATATCCGTTGTGCACCTCGAATGCCACCTGATGATAACAGTCTATTGCACGCGTCTCTGTGCCCTTAATTACTTCCTCCGGGCTGCATCACGTCCGGCTGCCGGTGGTGTTTCATGGTCTCCTTTTCACAATAATAAAAAAACTAAAAACACTCAACACAGCAGCTCAACACAGAATTTATTTCAAAACAAGTAGCAACGTCTTTTCTCACAATTCTAAGATTAAAAGCCCAACACAATATGGGATTTTCTGTATCTTATTGTCACAGTATTTTTAAGAAGAAGCAAATTTGCTGTGCGAAGTGCTAATGAGCGCGGGGTCCCTGTGAAAAAACCTAAGCAGCATTAAGCTTCACACTACTTTGAAAACTCAAAGTTTGTTGAAACTGTCGGTGTGGATGATGATGTGTGATGCACATCAATGTGGGTCACGTCTCAGTCTGCTGACTGAGGGTAATTTAGCAATGGGGCATTCAGATTGGGGAGGATTTCCACTGCAGCAGGTTTATGGTCCGACTAATGTGCTCCGCCGTCCGCAAACATACATTTAGAGCAATAAAGACAAAACAATTTCTTAAGTAATCGTGTCAGGAATATTCTACGATCGTTCGACAGGTTTCACGTGAATAATTGATAGATGAAAAAACAATAATCCGATCACTTGATCCCAAAGAAGGTTTAGAGCTACAACTGGGTTACTTATTAAGATTCGATTTTGGTAGTAATTTACTTTTCTACTTTTATGTTAATTTGGTACTAATCACGTTACCACGTTCTCCAGGTTTTAATCAAGAACCTGGAAGCCAATAACCTCAATATAACATTTGGGTACCATTTTGTCCGCATGCTTCTTATCCGGAGCTTATCTACCACAATCGTGTTGAGATTCATGAGACATCAGAGTTAATTGTGTTACACGCTGTCAAATCTACCCGAACACATTTCAAAGGATTTCATTCAGACGGGTTGGTGAGACACAAACAGTTGTCAGGCTGCCGCTTGTTCCAACAGCCTCCTGAGCGCCGCTGAACCAGCGTGAGTTCTGCATCCCACAAAGACTTAACTGACAAAGATTCCCCCGCTTGGACCACCTGCAGCTGTGCACCAATTAAAAGCACCACCCACCACTCCATGACCCATTTGGTGTGACTCGTATACACCCATTGACACCCACAATGACAACAGCTGGAGAGAGTGAAAGCAAATAATGAATAGTTGATGATAATTGGCTCTACCCATTCATAATTCATACCCTCAATTACCACTAAGAGGCCGCACCTGAGTCTGCAGTGTGTGCGTGTGCGTGTGTCACAGAAGACGTGCACGTCCAAGCCAGTGTGTTTGTTGCTGCTATTTCAAATTGAATGAAATGTTTCGTTAAGAGTTTTGGGACATTTGGCACATGTTTGTGCCGTACACATGTTTTCTGTCCTCCCGACATGCACAGTCGGTTATTAGGCTTCTTCCAAAAGGGCAATAAGTTTGTCGCTGTACAGGCAGGAAGCTCCTCTCTCCTGATAGCAGATAGAGTACGTGCTCCAGTCTCAGCAGGCTCCCTTATCAAAGATGCTGTTTTGGATACAATCACTGATACTTCTAGATGGGCATTGTGCAGCCGTGCATCTTGTGTATTCATTTTCCCTCCACACTTTTAGATGGATTGATAGAAAGGTAACTACAAAGTAAAGAACGTGTCCTAATGCATGTGTCCCTCCTCTTCTTTCTCCGCACTCTGTAGATCACAACTCTGATCAACCATAAAGACAAGCCAAAGAAGTCTGAGGGCACTCAGGCCGCCGTACACCGGGTGGGCCAGGCGGTGAGCGTGGCCGTGGGGCGCTTTGTCACCGTCGGGGAGGCCATCGCCACAGAGAACCAGGAGCTCAAGGATGAGATGGGTCAAGCTTGCTTTGAGGCACGCAGAGCAGGTGGGTTTCTTTTGCCGGCTCAGATTATGTACTCAACGTTTCACTGAGTTTTTGACCCTAAACTCAAGTGAGATGTGAGTGTTTTCTCTTTAGGGCGAGACAGAGACAGCACTCACGTTGTGGTCCGACATTAATGTCGTAAAAAAACAACTGTGCAGCGCTTCATTTTTAAAGACTTCCTCCCAGTGGGGACCGTATCTTCCTCTGGCAATCACGGCCGTGGCTTTATGGTGTCAAGAAATAGGCCTTAAGGTCGTTATAGCGAGTCGGCCAACAAGACTAATCAGTGTTTATTTGTTAAAACACAACTGACCGTTTCTGAAGGCATTAAGGACGGACGGACGGACTCCTCTCCCAGGGTGCAAATCTGCAACGCTAAATCAGCTGCATGGATGTATGGATGTATCAAGGTTAAGACCATAAGAACACTGAGAGAAACAAAGCGCTACAGACGATTGTAGGAGGAGGGAGAGCAGTGACAACCAGTGCGAAGGATCAAGAATGTGTGGATCGCTCTTCACAGGACCGTCAGCTTTTATTGAACCGGTGATAGAAGAGGGGACGGTTTGGTCAGGAATGTGTCAACGCGGAGAAACAATATCAGGAAAGAACAAGGACCTCAATTCAGTCTTCTACGGAGCAGACCGGAAACAATATCACCATTGACAAGAATTCAGTCACAAACAGCGGGATAATGGGTTTATTTTCAGGGGGGGAAACCAGCTTCTGGAGAAAAGCGTCTAATCCCCACACAGCGTTGATTCACGAAGACGGCTGAAACTCAGACAAAGAGAGCGCTGGTGGGAGGAGGCGAAAAGACTGATGAGAAAATCTGCGTGAGAATGTGTCTGTATAGGTGAGGCCAAGTGAAGTGTGTGTGTGTGTGTGTGTTCTTGTGCAAATGTGTGGATGTCTGAGCCCAGTGCGAATCATTTATTCTAGTTCTCACTTCCCTCTTAAGGAGGTGTTTTCACGGTCCCCTCGTCCACTTGTCTCGACAGACACTATACATCTGTCCCCTGATCGTAAAACAAATGAAACGTTTTGTCTTTCTGACCAGTTTTTGAGAGATGGTGCTACTTAGCAAAAGATTGGTGCTTCTCCGATACCTCGGGGAAGGAGGTAACGGCTTCAGCTTTGTCAGCTATAAGGAATAAAATAAAGGCGGGTTGAGAGCACTAGTTTAATTAGATCATCGGGATGATGGAGAGATCCGATGAGGCAGGTCAGTGAAGGCAATGCAATCTGCTTTGTTTCTGTCTCTTTCACTCAGTCTCTCAGTGTCCGTCTCCCTTGTTTTCTCTCCCTCAGAAAAGATTCAAAAGAACATTTGCGGTTTGGATCACATAAAAGTCATAGCAAGTACAACGTGTGAGTGTTCAAATACAGGGCTGCATTTGTACATTTTCCCTAAACACAAAGAACAGCTGAAGATGAACCAGTGTTCAAGGTATTTTAACAAAAGTGTCAGAGAAATCAAAAGGGCAACATGTGCGTCGACTAATAGACACGTTGCCATCCATTGAGCCATGCGGGATCGATTGCCTGCGTGTCCTGTACCGACACATCAAGGATCAGCCGTTCTGAATAATACATTTATCATTTATTTATTTGTCACAGTATTTACCAATTCGCTAGAGACAATGCATGATTTTCCGTGACGGAGCGTTTTACGCTGAACCGAAGCTTCGGCGGTGTAAAGTACACATGATGAGTGAAGGACCCGTGGGATGGATTTAAAATGTATGGTCATGAATCGATTTGTTCTCCAGTCCATCCGTTATCATTTAGGGAGGAGAGTTCGCTCTTTCTGTTTTCCCCCCCTGTATGGAGCCATTCTGTGTACGAGCCCAGCCTAAATGTTTTAACTGGTTAACAGAGCCGGTACTGGAAGCAGCAGGACGAGACAATGTCCTCCTGATGGGGACTACTTTACTGAGGGGGGATTTCATCCGGTGTTGGAGGATATGTTCTCCCAGAGTGGCAGAATTCCATTCAGTAATGTTGTCTGGGTGAACTTAAAGGGAATACCAACCGGTCGCCTCTTGTCTGAGTCCAGATCTCAGTTGGCAGGAAGCAAAGCCAAGAAGCACAAAGGTCTTTCTGGCCAGTCACATGATCCGCCCCTTCAGAGGGAATCCTCGGGCGCTGTCAGGCGCCTTGAACATGTTCCGAGTCGGCCTCCACAGCTGGACATTCCCTGAATCATCTGACAGGCAGATAGAAATGTCTTATAAACTGTCAAGCTCAATTTACTCAAAATATGCACCAGCTTGGGAAGAGCGTTGCATGACTGCCCGCTTTCGGGTAAGAAATTGTGTTTTAGCGTTTGTTCTTTGTGAAGTACATGCTTGGAGGAAGCCTTTTATAGATTTTCAATCCTAGAGAAGAAGAGCACCGGTTTGGAATCAGTACTTCGCACTGGCGGTGCAAAGACAGGTACAAATTCTAGCGAGGGGCAGAAAGTTGGATTTGAGCTGAGCGGTTTTTCACTCTGGCCCTGTTGTCGACCCAACCAAAACCCTTCTCTCCCGCCCTGCAGGCGACACCATAGCCCAGCTGACGGATGTGGGACCGGCCTTGCCGTCCCGGTCGGACGGCCCGGTCACAGTGTTCAGCGACAGGACGGGGATGGTGAAGGCTGCCCGCTTGCTCCTCTCTTCAGTCACTAAAGTTCTGGTCCTGGCTGACCGCATCGTCATCAAACAGATAATCACATCCCGCAACAAGGTGAGGAAGGCAAACGTGACACGTGATAGACTTTTAAGGTTAAGGTTATGCATAAGCACTCACTCCCATAAATACGGCTCAGCAAGCTCCGTCCTGAGTCCTTTATTTCCCATTAGATAAGCGCTGGCTCTCTGAAGATGTACTCTGGAGGTAATTGAAGGGAAACAGCACATTTAGCGATCACAGAGCAAGGCGCTGCCCCTCCTCGTCCTACCTGGATATGCTCTTAGCCAGACAATGGGATATGGATGTAGACTGAGCCAAGAATGGAAACCGGGGTCCTAATCATGACCGGTTAGCCTGGTTTGAATAGACATTCGACAGCACTCCGCCCCCCCCATTACTGGCAAACACAATTACATCTCTTCCTCCTCTTTGTCTGGGGTGAAGCGAAGCTGTTGCATTAGCGCTGTCAGCGACTTACATAGACTACTATTAACTAAAATGCAGGTTAGGAACTACTTGTGTGGTGGTTTTATTTTAGGAGATCCCAGATATAATTATATCACGATGAGCTGGTAATACTACAACAGGGAGAGCTGGAGTAACGCAGAAATAAGATAATACATGTTGGTTATGTCGTAAGGTAAGTCTTCACTTGAGAGGTAGGAATACATCTGAAACACGACCCAGGTTGTTACAGTGTGGAAGGCTGTCAGGAGCATGTGTGGCCTTTTACCGTGGTACTCTTTTCACCCGCGTCAGGTCCTGGTCACCCTCGACCATCTGGAGAGAGTCAGCACCTTCCAGGAATTTGTACAGATTTTCAGCCAGTTTGGCAACGAGATGGTGGAGTTCGCTCACCTTACTGGAGACCGACAGAACGTGAGTAGCATGTGGAAAAAAAAAAAAGAATCTCTTTAATTGTGACAGATGCATAGATATCTTTTCTATCATATGTAAATAGTGTTAATGAACATTTAGTCATTTGCTTATTCATTTCTGCAACAAGTTTGACCTTCTAACAGGCCTTTCTAAACATGGCGTTCTGAATGTGAAAGCAGCACTTACACTGTGAATACCAGGCAAACCCAGAACAAATCAATAATTCCGGCATCAAATATTTACTCCTCCCAACAAAAAATTGCACGATGAAGTAACAGCTGTCAGGGATGTGTGGGAAGCAGGACTCAAATGCAGAGTTTAACGAAAAAAGACTTTAATAGTCATCAACTCCAACAAAACAAAAGGCCAAGGGGCAAAAACACACAGGAACCAGGGGGAAACCGGCAGGCAGGAACTACAAACATCCAGGTCCATCCAAGTGACAACAGACACACATGGCTTAAATACACTGGGGAGGTGCAGGTGATTGGACACAGGTGGGAACAACCATGACATGACAGACAATCACAGAGGAGGACAGGACAAGGCAGGAAGTGACATGACCCAGGGAGAACAGAGGCAAGAAACTACAAAATAAAACCAGACATGAACCCAAACCGTGACATCGGCAATGTATCAGCTCAGGGTTCAGCACATTTGCAACAAAAATGTTTTGCTTTAGTTTTTAACTTTGCTCTGTCAAAAAGACTGCTAATCCTTCTTTGGCGCATACGTTCTGTTCTTTGCCTCTAGTCCCTCTTCCTGAGTTTCTTGGACGCACTAATGCGTCCCTTTCCTCGCGTGCCACTCTTTTTTTGTTGTATTCACTCACATTCACACACAAATCTACCATCAGATAATCAAATCGACTTTGTAATCTAACGCAGAGTAATAAATCAGGAATCATTTATTGCCAAAATATGTCAAACATACAAGGAATTTGTCTTGGCGGTTGGTGTGTGACAGTAGAGAGGAGTTGATCCAGCTGTCTTTCCCAAATCCCTGAATACCAAGTCTATTTCTATTTGAAGTACATGGATGGGGATGCAGCAGGTCACACACTCTGCATCTTCTCTCCTATACTTGAGGTATCTCTTTTTATTAGGAGATAATTTACCTAGGAAGTTCTCACGTGTTTGTAAACTTGGAGAGAAATCTGTGTCACATTTTGTGCGCCTCATCAAACCAGCATCAAACAGATTACTTTTGAGGCTTTATGTCCCTTGGACACCCAGAGAGTTCATAGAAGTCACTACTGAAGTAAAGCCACCCTTTACCATCTGGTGCGTGTGTGTTTGTGCTGCAGGACTTGAAGGACGAGAAGAAGAAAGCGCGGATGGCAGCGGCCAGAGCAGTGCTGGAGAAATGCACCATGATGCTCCTCACGGCCTCTAAGGTAAACAGCTGGTGCACCAACGGTGGACCTCTGAGCAAAGGTTATAGAATATGTCCAGTTTAAAGATTCGTGACCTTCTCTGGTTTATTTAATTTCAAGGCGACGTGAGATACTGCGATGAATGAGAATGCCCAAAACCCAAAGTCTTGTCATAAAAAATACCAAAGGAGAACTAATAACTATCTTGGTACAACAAGAAAAGGTCGAAGACGGTAGAGGAGGAGCATGAGCTTTGACATTTCACGTCAAATTCTTCCCCAAGACCTGCCTAAGGCACCCAGATTGCGAGTCGGCGCGGATCAACAAGGACGCCGTGTTCCGCCGGATGCGCTGCGCCCTGGAGCAGGTCATCGAGATCGTCACAGAGGCACGGAGCTGTGGGGAGAACAAGATGCTTCCTGCCAGCATCTACAACGCAATCAACAACTTCAAGGTAGGGTTCAAAATTGGCATAAGTGAAGCTATCGGCGAAGATAAGTAAGGATTATCTGGTGGGCAAAGCATGATGCTATGCATCGTAGACCATAGGTGCTTTATAATAGTCGATAGGAATAAGAAAGACCATTGTTTAAGATAAAAACCCACGAATGATCTGGTATTGACTCGATGTGGGTGTTGATTTTTAAGTTTGTCATTCACTGTGCTTCAAATGTAACCCAGAGAATCAATATGTGGGATCAGACCAGATGTTACGACCTGGTTGACGCGGTTACGTCAATCACCATAAACCTTTGATTCATCTCCTCTCTCCTCTATGCGCACCGGCAAATGAAAGAAAAGCCACAACAAACGGGTTTTGAAGGGATCTTTTCAGCGAGGTGAAATAAGAAAGTGCCCAGTGATCTGTCTTGTTGTTAATAAATGGATTTTTAGCTCCTAATGGCAGCGGTAAACTAAAAGCTTATGTAAACCTGTCATTTACGGACACATTAACAGTCCGTTAAGTCCATTAAAAATTGATTTTCTTTAAGAACGGAAGGATGGAACAGAAAGAAATACATTGACTTTCACAATCGTGAACTTGAGATGTTGTTCACAGAATGTGCTCTCCACCTTTGATGGTCCAAGGTGACTCTTGGACTAAACCTGCATCCCATTTGATGAGCATGTCATGTGCGTTATGATAACGAGATAATAAATTATGTCTTTTTTTCCCCTCAGGACAAAGGTCAGTGTGTGTGTGTGTGTGTGTGTGTGTAACCACTTCGACCTGCTCCCTCATCCCCCCTGCAGTCCAGCGTGGAGTGCCTGCGAGAGAACCTCAACTCCCCGTCCCCCCAGAGCATTGGCAGCCAGCTGGAGGCCCTGGTGGAGCGGACGGAGGACTTCACTGATTCGGCCTACACCAGCCACGAGCAGCGGCAGGCCATCCTCGGTCTGTGCCAGCTGGCGCGCCAGGAAGCCCAGCAGCTGGTGCAAGCCTGGGCCGAGGCGGTATGTTGAGCGGGCGCGATGGCACAGATGCTAATACCCCTGCAGGAATATTCGTTTTTACAACATATGCTACTATATGAAGGATATATGTACGGTACAGCACAAGTATCGTAACAAGATTCAAAACCCAAGCACGTTAAGACTCCCGTCCGAGGCTCATGTCGTGAATTATTTTTCCACTTTCTATTCATACAACCGAGTAATAAACAACAACCTGAATATAACAGCTTATTCAATCAAGTGAGAAACATCATCTGCTGCCTTTGAAAACAGTCTCCTTGGCCTTTGAAATATATGGACTTATGAAACACAAGTCTGTATGTTTCAGTTTCACATTGAACCTTTCTTTTCAGTGAGTTCAACAGCAGTGCGTCATCCAGCCTCTGCAACACAAGGTCATCTGGAGATTCAAAATGTTTTTTAAATGAAGCAAAGGCATCTGGGCGTGTTAAATATTCTTGGGTGTTTGGCATCGTCCAATTTGTGGGCTTGATTTTTGTGATAAATAGTTGACATTCCATTTGGATTATGTAAATTGTTGTACAATATTTAAAAAGAGGAACATGTTTTCATCGTTGCAGTATGAAGGCCTTTTTTTGTTTTTTAGGAGATCAACTCATCACAAACGTAGTCGGAAAGAGCCAAAGTTGATTTTTTTCCGGTGTGGGCTTGTAAGACCATGTTGAATATCAGGTTCTGTTCCCCTCTCATGTCTCACTGGCGCAGCAGTCCGTCCAGGCCAAAGAAGCCACAGAGGACATGGAGGTGGCCATCCTGAAGACATGCCAGAGCGCCAGCGAGCTGCGACGCGAGGTGAGCTGCAGTCTCTCCTTCTCCGCCCCTGAAGAGACAAAGACACGACGGGATTGTCTCCCGCTGGATGCTCTGCCTCTGCGACGCCCACCGTGTCACCTCTGCTTCTCTCCTCAAATTCAAATCCTCATTCATGTCTCCCACCCTCGATCTCTACTCCACGACGTCCTCTTTTTATTTCCTCAATTTAATCTGGAATTCCTCCTCCAGCTTCATAAGGTGGCCGTCGTTCGTGCCGCCGACTTGCTCAAAGTCCACGGGGAGCAGTTGCCTCTGCGGGCTCTCAAGGCTGCAGGCGCCGAGGGAAACCTGGAGGCAGTGGCGGAGTATTCTCGCACACTCACTGAGCAGAAGGAGCAGCTGGTGGAGGTAGGTGGGGGCCGGAGAAAAGGGAAGGGGACGTTTTGTTCTAGGGACACCTTAATAAAGGTGTTTCACGGGCAAACTACACTGCAGGAAATCTTTTGTGAAGTTTAGATCTTACTTTTTTTTATAGTTATCAATCTACATTCTTGGGCAGAATAATGAGTGTAAAGGTGGGTTTGCCACAATGAAAAACCAAGTGCAGGAGAACACAAGCTGCCTGACATGAGTGAGAGTACGTTTATAATCCTGAAACAAATGAAAGTCCACCTGTGGCTAATTTACAAAAATGTAAAAGCATGCAACCTTAAGTTTCACTTATTATCCACTCATCCTAAAGAAAAGTTTCAGACTATTAAGTTATTCTTTTTTGCTTCATGCTGGGAAAAAAAATACATTCCTACAGTTTATTGTGGATTTTTCAGTGCATCTAAAATCAAGTAATCAGGAAAAATAGCAATGCAGTGTTAATGTCACTATATTAACTTCAAAATAAGTATAATTCATACGCTGTGATACAATTGGGTATGATCACTTCTGATTGTGTATTTAAACTGAAGTTATTATAATCACATCCATTTTATTCATTTTGCACAGTGTGACTTTTCAAACCATGACCCTTCCGTCCCGTGTCTCTGACTTCAGACGTGCCGGCTGCTGTGCCACGTGTCAGGGACCGAGCCTCTGGAGATCACCTGCATACACGCTGAGGAGACCTTCCATGTCATCGGCCCACAGGTACACTGTGTTAGACTCGTATCGTATTATAATTACGTGCTTGACAAAGTGTGTAAACTGATACCGGGCCGGGTTCAACCCGAGACCCATTTGACTCCATTCAACCGCATGCCGGTGGTTCAAACGGGTCCCACGGTGATCACAGAGTGAAATCAGGAACCGAGGAAAATCCTACTGAGAAGCAGTGTGGAGCGAAAATAGACAAATTACCTCACGTCTGCTCAGTCTGCCTCCTGCACCTGAGAACACGCTGTCCCTAGTCCACCTAATTATGTTTGCTCTTGGAAACCATTCATGCTGGTAATTATCCAGCGATGTGGAATGTTCCCGTGTTGCAGTGCGAATGTCAGGCCCCGCGCTCTCCAGCACCCCCAGTTCAAAGGTCAACCAATCAATAACACTGCAGCATTGGGCAGCGGGGGTGATATGTGTCTGTAAGAGAGGGGTGGCCCAGAGGGTAATTGGCTATTAAATACTGCACTGTAGGGGAAGGGGGTGCATTTCTGTGTGCGTGTTTTTGTGTGAGCGCGTTTGCCTGCTTGTGTGTGTGTATTACTGTGCCATTTGTGCACAATTTTGCCCGTACATTTGAGTAATACCCCATTAGGCTTGTGTGTTTGTTTTTGTTGTATTGGTCAACTTGTGTCAAGTTTAAAACCAATTTAAAGCAGATATTTTTGGTTTGACAAGCCAGAAATGTGCTGGAATACACTTATCAACCCAATAATATTGAAGCGTTAACGACCCAATGCTTCATTCATTTGACCACATTGGCATAAACTTAACTGGTAAAAACAAGTAGTAACCGCTTGAGGCTCTGATGTGAACCCAGGGAGAGTTGTGTTAAAATGCTGCGTTGCCGTGATTATGTTGATGAAAGAAGATTACTATCTTCCAAGGGAACTGTTGCCGGTTTACATCCAGAGAGGTGGGACCAATAAATGACTTGGTTACGGTTTAGTGTCAAGTCGCTGTATTAAATAACAGTTTGAAACGTATAGCCGCCTCCAGTCTTGTGTTTGATGTCACAGTCTGGGAAGCAGGCACAGGGGACGGACCTGAATGCAGACAAAGAAGAGGAAGCATCACTGATTTAATTCAAAACTGCTTCCAAGTTGGAGGCCAATAATAAGAGACAGGAACCAGCAGGCGAGGACACGGACAAAATTGTAGGCAATTCCGAACAAAACTGGAGACAAAACATCAAACTGGGCTGGTGTGAATGGAGGCCGAGTGTTGGGGAATTGGGGACAGATTAGGCACAGATGACCCATTGCCGTAGAGAGACGAGTCAAACAAATGAGTGCAGGGAGACCATCACTGAAAAAAACACATTTAGTCTCACTGTCTTTTACTGCATTTGCATTGTTTTTCGCTCTCTTTACCGACCAACTTCATTTGAATGAAACTTTTCTCATTATCGCACACTTCCCACTCAGATCGTGTCGGCTGCCCAGACGCTGGCCCTCCACCCGTCCAGTAAGATCGCAAAGGAGAACCTGGAGGTGTTTTGTGAGGCCTGGGAGTCGCAGCTTTGTGACATGGCCCTGCTGCTGAGGGAGATCAACGACGTCTTTGAAGGCAGGCGAGGTGCGTTTCTCTTCAGTTATTAATGGATTCGCGTGTGCATTTGTGCGGGTCAGCAGCAAACACATCAGGGAGTCCTTCGGGAAGAGCGGGAAGCAGAAGAGAATGCACGCAAAATATGCTCTCAATGGCATTTGATCCTTAAAGAATAACATTCTCTGTCAAAACCCTGGTGAACATTTTGCGCCTGAAGCCTTCAAATGCCTAAATGACGTTTAGCAAAGCAAGCAAATATCTTGAATTGTTTCAATTGTTATTTGTATGATATCTATGACAATTCTAGACGAGTGTAAAATAGAATTATGATGTTTTGGAAAAACATGCTTTTAACTGGAACATAAAGCATCTGTTAGACGTCTTTGTCAGTCCGTGTTTATTACCATGTATTAAGATTATCTTAATTACTTTCCTCTCTTAGGAGACAAAAGATCTTATGTGTCACTTCCCAGAACCGGGGTGAGTGTCACAACTTCCATCCTCATGAATGTCCACGTGTACATATATAGCCATGTAAATACAGATAATCAATACCTGTTTTCTTTACCCATAGAAACACACGGCTAACATGAAGACTGCCAAGGCTGTAAAGTTGGACGCAGAGGTGAACATCCACTATTCTCCTCTGGCTTTCAGCACAACACATCACAGCAATATATTTATCTCCCAGAAACTTTGTGTCACAATTTTGGAACAATTGATTACGTTCGCATGCTAACAGCACCACAACTCGATTTTGCTGATTACAAAAGTCACGGTGTTGATTTTCAGTTTTACATATCTGGAAAAATCAGATTTCAGTTTCTAGTATCACTTTGTGTGTGTCTCCCTGTGCGCGCAGGAGCAGACAAGCATGGCCAAGCAGGGCCTGGAGCTCCGTCTGCTGTCGTCAGACGTGGACGCGGAGGTGGAGAAATGGGAGGAGCAGGAACACGACGTTGTCCGACAGAGCCAGAGCCTGGCCAGCATGGCCCACAACATGTACCTGTTCACCAGGTGACCCAACAGCGCCGCGCCGACGCACACACGTGCTCCGATTGCATTTCAGGGATCAATGTGGTAAAGCCTCTTAGCAGCCACATGAATCTCTTCAGGGGCTTACAGGTAATGAGATTCTCGAGCTCCTAGCTATCGATATTCAACCCGCATCGTTCGAGGCACCGACAAAGTTGACATGGACGTTTTGATAACCTTTTTTTTGATTTATCTAAGTCAAAGTTTGAATGGGTAGACGTATTTAGTCTTTATCCACCTCTGGCCCGTCCATGATTCCTCTCCTCATTTTTTGTTTCCGACATTACTTCCCAGAGGGGAGGGGCTGCTGAAAACAACAGTCGACCTTTTCCATCAAGCAGAGGTACGTGTGTCCATGACCTCATATCTCTCCTTCTCCTTACTCTCTGTTCTTTCTTCCTCGCTTTTCATCAAAGTTGCAAATGAATGCGTCTGTTTCTAACATTTTTAGAACCTGCTTCTCTAAATTACTCAACGTTCCCAATTCGGTAGATACTCGCCTCCATGCCACCTTGTTTGTTATCACCTCGTGTGTCCGAGCATAGAGACGCTACTAGTCGTGCCCCGTCAGATGCGAGGGGACGTGAATGATGGGATGGTGGCATTTAGTGATCTATCTATCGCCCCAGTACGTGGCTTCACAAAGCAATTTATAGAAGCACGTTGTAAAAATGTTATTAAATTTGGGGCGAGCGAGTGAGATAAGGGAAGAAGAGGAACGGGAGGGAAAAAGACGGGAAGGCACGCTGATAGGAATAGCTTTAGAAAAAGTAAAATAATCATAGTTTGGGCTGTATTTGTGTATGTCTTCTGATTTCTGACTCATTCTTAAGGTTCTCTCTGAAGAGGGACTCCAGCTGTGCTCTTCTCTCCGCACCTTTTCCACTCAGGTACACACAAATGCAATAAGCCTCTCTCTCCCTCTCTCTCTCTCCTGAACACAGTTTAAGGCTGAACAAATCCCAATGTATTCACAAAAAAACACTTTTTAAATGTTTTTGCAGAAATAAATCCAATGTGAGTTATGTAACATGTAAGCAGACGTTTCGTATAAGCAGCAACACAATGAGTGCAGTAGAACACCTAAAGGATCCAGAAGCATTTTCTGTCTTTGTGTGATTTATGTTCCCGTTTCTCTGGTAGAATCTAAAACAAAATAGTGGCGTGACGCTCACTCGGTAGACGTGTAAAGAGAGACAACAGGAAAAACATTTTCAACATTTTCTTTTGCATAGGACAAGCTGCCCACCCATCTCTATGCCCACGTTGCGCCTCTCACACGCCGCACGCCCGTATCACCCGCTCTGGCACGCCACGGTGCCAAGTTCGCCTTATAAATCATACAGCCAAAGCCGGAAATTAAGGCTGTCACGCACTTCCACAGTCTTCTTCTTGAAGGTCCAACAAACAGACGCAGCCCCAGTGCCCTCCTTCCGCTTGCCCCCCCCTCCAACTCCTTCCACAGGTCCTCCAAGTGTAATTACACGGCTCTTTTGTGACAGCCGTTAACGACGTTCATTTGTCACCGCTGAGGCCGTAGGAGGGTATGTTGGTGCACATGTGGATGTGCGCAGCGTGAATCGGGGCGGGGGGGGGGTCGAGTGCGACCGCTCTGGACTAATTCATGATCCGCAGGCCCCCGGCTCTTCAATTTGCCTCGCGCGTTTTGATTAATTACATCAAACAAGCCGGCGCTAATGGAGTCCCCCCGTCTGTCCCTCCCCGCTCAAAGTTCTTTGGCAACAAACTTGTAGCGCACCTGCGTTGCCTTCATTGGCGGGATCGGGCTGTTTATGCAAATCAGGAGCATTTTTGTAATTGAGGTCTGAGGCGGTTCCGTGTATTTTTGCTGTCATGAGTGCCGATATGCTGAATAAAGGAGCGCGTGTTTTTAGGTCGCTTGTGGCGTGTCCCAGAAATAGATTGATGGCCCCTGTGACTGAGATGGAGGGATTAACGCAGCCCAATAACAGACTTAAGCAGTAGATCGTGACCTGGCTGTTGCTGACGGATTACATCAAGCTACGCTACAGTTTTATTCATTTCACCCTCTTTTTTTTGTTTTTTTGTGAGACCTGACTTGTGTTTCCACCGTAGCGGTGCCCCCGAAAGACGTCTCTGTTTCTGTCCTCGTCCCTGTTCCAGCTAGTTGAGGAGGAGGAGAAGTCGGTGGTGATGACAGAGATGGAGAAAATGTTGCCGTTGTGCCAACAGCTGCAGACGGGAGCCAGGAGCCCAGTGCAGGGCAAGACTGCCACCTTTCAGAAGGTACTCGTACTACGCGTTGAACTTCTTTCTGTTTGTGAGTATATATAAAAAAAGAAAGCCTGGTCTGTTGAGAAAACCTTAAATCAGAAACAGCGTTACCAGCAGACTTCATTTTTTTCCCTCAAGCTTCAAAAATAATCAAACACACAAAAAATAATCAAACACACAAAAAAATACATCCCCCAAAAATCAGACGGGCATCAATGTCTCAGTTAAGACACAATAGACGCGAGGGGAATGTGTCAGAGGGACGACCGCACATAATTAGGAGAAAATCTGGTCAATTTTCTAAATAAAACATTTTCCAGAAAAAAAATATATATATAAGTTTTCTGTGGTGCGGCCCGGTACCAAACGGCCCACGGACCGGTACCGGTCCGCGGCCAGGCGGTTGGGGACCACTGCGCTAGGGGATACATTCTGACTCGTCGGCTGCTGGATCTCTGTGTATGTTGTTGCCTTTGAATGTAATGGCTGTCCATGCTTCCCCTCTTAAACTTGTGCATAATAATTGAATGTCTTTGCCTCTAGGTGGACTCATCCATACAGACAACCAGAGGCATCTTGACTGTGGTTCTCTCCATTCTATCAATTTGCCACAAGCTCACCAGAAAGGTGATTAAACAGGACTTACGACTAAGCACGTTGGTGAAACAGAAACATTTCCATTCATTTATTCTGCTTGCTGTGTCCATTTGCAGTACAAGTCGGAGAGGAGTAGCCTGGGGTCCCTGCAGGACTGGAGAGAGAGGCAGGACGCATCCACGCCGGTCAAAGAGGAGGAAACTCTTAACAAGGACAGCAACGGCTTTGGGGTCAAATCGCTGGAGCAACACATAGTCGGGCTTAACCTCCTTGAGAGCAAATAATCCAGAGAGTAGTCCCCTCCCTGTTGTCCTTTGAAGCAGCACATAGTCAACCTCCCTTTTCTGCAGAACATCTATTTCAGGAAATACTTTACTTCCCGTCATCCCCATGCACACACCAGAGGGAGCTAGAGGAGTGTATGTGGTGAAGATGGATGCCTCGGGGAATTTAGAGATTGTATTTGTCGTCTGGATGATGAAGTGTAAGCTTTACGCAGCTCGCTGTTCCCAGGGGAACGTTGAATCCAAGGTCGCTTTGTCACCAAAAGTACCAGTTTCACACGAGGCCACAAGATGGAGACAATCAGCCAAGAGTGTGACTTTGTAGTGAGGCTCCTCACTGATTTCCAAGTCACTTATTATCGATCCTCTGGGAATTGAGTCAATAAACTGATCAGAAATCAGGGGAAACGACTCCTGTTAATGCTCAGCTTAGCCATAAATCCGTCTTCACTATGTGCCTCTGTGTTGCAAGCCCAATTGCTTCGTGCTGTATTGTAAACGTGTTGCACATGTTGGCCAAATTTTGAAATCATCACCAAACCTTTGTGTTTGAGTCTCTTGTGGTCTACGTGTCATAAGCTTGTAATGTTGACACTTTTTCTGTAGTATTAGATGTAGTGGTACATTGTGTCTGGTAATTTCATTCATCTCACTTGGGTAAATAAGTATTTAAAACATCAACCACACCATACGATTAATGACTACTTTCCATACAGCGTGTTGTGGAACACTAGACGTGTTATTAATCACAGTTTAACGCCAAATATGATTGTTCTCATTAGTAAGCTACCATTTTCAGCTTGCTACTAGTGTGAGAAATAAAGCTTACACCTCCAGTTTAGGTTGCTGGATGGGCCTGGTTTCCTCTCTAAAAGTGTACTACTATGATACTTGTGGGGTGCCGGAAGCTTTATTCATGCTGTGCTGTTATTAAATCAGTGTGTGGTTGTACGCAGTTTAAAAAAAACAAAAACTGAACATGTGTCAATTGGAGCGTATTTGTTATGAAGACTATCATTGTGAAGCTGCCTTGAAGGCCAATTTGTAAATGGTATCTATAATAGGGTACTTGAAGCATAGATTATATATAAATACACACAATGTATCCCAAGGTAGTACTTTGGTACTAGATGAGAGGTGTAATAATGACTGAGATGATGACGTACATTAAGCTTTAGAGATGCTGTGTACAGTGAGAGCAGCTCGGGATGCCAGTCATTGTAGTTGCGCTAAAGATGTGAAGAAATATTTGATCTAGTTTTGGACCATCCATTCTTTTGACAATTGTAAGGTTAATAAAAGTGACACAAAAAAAATAAACAATATTTTTCTTAAATTCCCGTTTGTTGTATTTATTGACATTCTATAAAAATAATTCAAATTAAATATTCGTTGTGCTTATAACAGACTTCAAGTAAATTGTAATGTTTTCCTCCATTACTCATTTATAAAATGAACTAAATGATTAAAGAACTTGAAGTACACAGGCGCAGTGCACAGCTTGCATCATATGAAATAGTCCTTTTGAAGTGGCCAAAACAAACGGTGTCTCTCGGTCGTCGGTCTTAGTCCGACCCGACGAGGGGCAGAATAGTTTTGACTGCAGTGAGACCAGAATGTGGAGCTCAGTCACGATGGTTGAGATTGGGCAACAGTTCGCTTGGAGACGACGCTCTCGAACTCCTCTCTGCTCAGAAGATTCTCTGTTATGCTCTTGCTCTCCTCAAACTTTGGCAAGATGACGGCAATGTATCCTTCAGTGGACGGCTGTTCAGATTTAACACACAGAGCGCTATTTAAGCATTTACTCATATTAGGTTATATGAAACTTCAATTGTGGCATAGTTGATATAAACAGTCACCTCTTCTACAGCAGTGTTTTTTAAAGTTATTCAAAATATGGTCTTAAAATGGTTACATTAAGTATACATGACGACAGTAACCAAGTGATAACATTATAATGTGATAATATAGTTACCTTTTCCAGCAGGAGAGTAGGGGTTTCTAATATACTCTCATTGACCTCGAGAAGACGACCCCGGATGCAACTAAAAAAAAACAACAGATTTATGTGCCTGATCCCGACAGACAAGCATTTACAACGTGTGAAGTGAAAAACAATACGATTATCTCACCTGTAGATTGTGTATTCGGTTTCATCTGTGCACGTTATCCGGCACAGAGGTGCAAAGTCAGTAAGGAACTGACCCCCCTATAATTGGAGAATAATTGACAGGCCAAGTTGAAGAGTGGAAAGCTACAGACGTACAAATTTATTTATTTATTTATTTATTCATTCATTCATTCATGAGATCATCTGTAGCTTTATTGATCACTGTGAATTTACCCGCTTGGACTTTCCAGATACTTTGTTGTTCAGCCGACTGCAACCATTACTGATCTGGTAATTGATGCTTTTGATCGCCCGTCCGTCCTGAAGGATCGGATGAGTCTCCGCTAACGTGATGACACAGAGTCTGCAGACACACAATCAAGAGTGGGACTCACGTAGAACATATATGGATTATATCCAGTTTAAACCACTAACACAACTGAGGTCAATTTAGAGGTTAAATTTATAAATGGAGAAAAATAGAACTACCTGTACCTGTAATCAACTTGTCACTTTTTAGAGAGGGTTACTTTTTTTGTGTTATTCAGTTTGAAGTATTTATAAAATAATGTAACGATGACCCCCTGCTGTTACCCGTGATGACCTGGTTACCTGTTTGAATGCTGCAGGATGCAGTGGTCCTCACACGGTTTCCCCTTCATATCTAAATAAAACAACCACAACACACACACTCAACATGTATACAATAAAACGCATTATGATGGCTAACGGCATCGAGATGAAACGCTAACAACATCCGCAGAGATCTCAGGTTGTGCTAACGTTAGCTCGTTTAGCAGCTAACAGAACGTGCGGGCGACTTCTGCGGCGTGAATGTTACTCACCGGCCCGGAACCATCGCGTGTAATACCGGTCGATGACCGACGGCGCCGTCGCTTCTGTGTCTGTCTGCTCCACGCAATCCATCAAAAGTATATTCACTAAACAAGTTGCACCGATAAAGAGTAAATGTACACAATTCTGTGACAGTACTTCGCGTGACGGACCGCATTTGGTGTGACACCGCAAAGTCCGTCGGCAAAAAGAGTCCGACAGTTTTAAAAGGGAAAAAGGTTCCGGATATTTTTTACGACTCTTTGAGGACGTGAAGTCCGTTTGGGAACTTTTAAAATGACAATGTGAACTTGGCTGTTAGAAAGTAATAATAACATAATCACTCTCCATATACCTATTTGTTATTTGGGTAAAAGTGAAACTGAAATAATCTAATTTTTATCTAAGGAGTTAAATATAAATGAAAAAGCTTTGTGATATTTACTTTGTAAATAATTGTTTCGCTCTTTTTCATGTATTGGTAATGTTCCTACTGTTGTGTAACCTGTGTGGCGACCTGGAACACACTGTAAGAGCAATATTCACTTTCCCCACCAGATGCCGGAATTATGCCAAAAACTCCTCTGAAATTTCGATCTGGTAAATCTCCTCTCTGACGTCTCTCACCTCTGACCTACTAAATGCTTAGTGAACACTTTTATTCGGTATTGGCCTTGGGACAATGGCGTCATCTTTGTGATAATTAAAGGGAAAAGATCACAAGAGAAAGAAAGAGATTTGCCTGATATTTGGCAGCACGGTGACTTTTCCATGCACGCCACCAGGAAAGGATTGCTGTCAAACCCCATCGTAATAAGTTTTCCATTACTCCCATGTCTGCGGTAGGCCGTTGTCTGCAATTAATTCAGAGATGAAACACAAAACCCGCTGTGGAAACAGTGGACACAAAGGGAAGTGGTCATGGACATGCTCTTTTGAATCAGGCATTTCAAATATGTCTATTCTCAATATGATCTGACAGCTTTAATTGTGATTTGACTTGTTCCAAACAAATGCTTGCTACAGCAAGATACAGAGTTGTTGCTTTTAAAACAACCCTTTGTTGCTAGATAACGAAAGTTAGGATTAGTTTCACAGTTTTATAGTTCTAAAATAAAAAAGTAACGTGAGTGTTAAAGTGCCCCCGTATGTCCTAATAACCAGCAGGTGACCTCCAGCTTCCATCAGATGTGTATCTGTGTTTATCCGTCTGTTCATACACGTATCCGTCAGTCTGTGTACATTCCCAGGCTTTTACTACATTTTGTTGAAATTAAACTTTGCTCCATCTCCCCCGCTTCAAATCTTGACTTCAAGGTCCACTGGCCGGTTCCCAGACAGGCGCTCTGAGTGTCTCCAGCTGCAGATGCTTCTGAGTGAGTGTGTGTGATGCAAGCATGGCTCCACGTCAGCAGCCCTTCTTCTCTGGCCTGCTGTTTAGCGTGTTGGGCTCCAGCAGTCTCTCCCTCCAACCTAAAGGGAGGGATGCTTGCGTGGCTTTGAGAAGCCAATGACGTACTGTGCTGTCTGAAGTCCTCTACCTGGACTGTATACAGTACATACCGGCCACAGACTGGGGTTAGTGTGGTGCATTAATCGCTAAATACTGTGTTGCAGTGATCTGTTTTCTCTCTCAAAAGGTTCAGATTGGGAATCAAAAAGTGTTCAGGCTGCTGTCAGTGAATGTGCAGACATGCAGCAGCACAGAAACCCCCAAAACTCCTGCGTACTGGCATGAATCTGGTGCATGGAGGTCCTGTGATCATTGGATAAGCTGCTGCCATGTCAAATTCCATAAACTTTCACTCTGGTAATCAGTTGTCAGAGTTGCAATCAATCATGTTGGAGTTTCTTTGTTATTTCTGGCCTCTCTCCAAAGGCAGTGAGGCCTGAGGCTCGTAAAATATGTGCGAGTACTTGTGTGTGTTTTGCCTGTCTGTGTGTGTCAATTGGTGTGTGTGTGTGTTTGTTTAAATCCAATTTACGATTCCCGTCGTTTGCATGGTTCACCTTCCCTCCACAGCGGCAACAGTAAACTGAAAATAACTACAACATTACAACTAAAGAGCCGGCTGATTGTCGAGCAAGGAATTTATTGTCACCATAGAAACAAAACAGATTTTAAGTGTTATTCTTCGTCGGACGTTTTGTTCCCTTGTTCTGATTACTAATAAACGTATTCAATTAATAAATATGTCCTTCATGTAGTTCTCACCAACACACCTGTAAAGCTTTGCTACTTCCTGCACGTTTTTTAATCAATTGTGGTGATAAATCTGTCCTCAGGCGGAGAGCAATATAGAACCCTACCTATTAAAAACAAGCATTGTGTTAGTTCCCGCTACAGTAGGTGTCTCCTGGACCACATTCTGCTGGAGGATGACCAGAGCCAGGAGAGCATACGTCTGCCGCTCATAGAAAAACAACAACAAAAAGCAGTATCTTAAATATGGATGAGTGTCAACAGGAACTTTGCCCATGGCTGCAGAGCAGGACTGTCTTCCCAGAGACAAAAACATGTGCAGGCCAAATAAGTTCCTTGTGGTTCTGTTAAAAGGAATCATTTGCAATGATGTTTTTTCACAGTGGTGTCACTTCTCTTTGACTTGTGCAGTGCGCAAACAAGAGGAAGTGGTCGGTTTGGGACACTAGTGTCGCGTTTCCCTTGGTGTATGCGACCTCCAATCTTAGTAGTTAAAGGCTAGTTGAAACATGAAAAGACAAATAACTGAGAGTCACAGATCTTGTTACATCACTCAAATATTAGTTAGCGACGCTTTCATTTGAACTGCTCTCCCTGTCTTCTCCCGTGTCACTCCAGCGTCCTTCCTGATGCTAATGTGTTCATAGCTGCCTCGCTGCTCGTCCTTCTCCGGAGACTAAGGGCTTCAACAGGAGCTGAGAGCAACGGAAAGAACGCGTACGCAGTCTAATGCCAAATCCAGATCCACACATGAGGAATAATTGACCGGTGTTAAGAGATTTCAGCTTTGGGTTCTAACCACATGCTTTCTTTTGCAGTAAGGTTTGTTTAGCAGCTTGTAGCTAAACTATTAGTTTTAGTTAGTTTTATGAGAGACTGTCAGAGATGCATGCAGACTGTATGAATTATACATTATACAATTATGCTTGTATGGATTATTAGTTAGAAGCCACGTGGCAAACATATTGGAAATCTCCTCATGGAAAGGGAACTCTTCTCCAAGAAAATCTCCCCACGTCTTGTTTTCACTTGCAGCGCAGCAGCAGGCAGGATGCTCTGAGCTCTACCAAAGCTGGAGCCAGTTCCTTTAGTCTCAACCCTTCAACTGCTTCCTAGAACAAGTAATTTATGCATCTGTTCTGCCCGAGTGAAGCTTTCCACATTCACAAGGTTGTTTTCCTCAAAAGTTACAATTGCCCTGTGCTGTTGAACTATATCGTGGTCACCATGTAGAGCGGCAAGAGGAGCGGCAACAGTTTGTTTTTGCAGACAAACAAACGTCATTTGCAGAAACCTGTAACAAAGAAATACAAAAACACAACCTTGAATACCAATGCAACTGTTTTGTTGCTATTCTCAAACAAAATGTCTTCTTTATGTTATTAATATAACTGACTTTATGACTTTAGGAGCTCCCTAAATCCTCATTATCTTGTGCAAGAAGTGCTTTGAGAAATGATAGCGGACACCGATTCAGAAGGTCACATGAGAACACTGCATTCTTTGGCAAAGACGTGGATGTTTGGAGCTTTTTTTTGTAGTTTGGTTTATGTTTGTCTTCCCCCGGCGGTCATCAGCCTGTGTGTGTATTGGCCGGGGCTCTATAGTTTCAACATTAAAGCACATGTTCTCATGGGCTATTTCTGAAGAAAATTTCCAACTGCTGTTGACGGCTCATTTTGGGGGGGACGTCATTCCAAAGATTTAGAGAAAAATGTCGAAGCACCCTGAAGCTGTTGAATGTTGATTTCCTCTGAATCATTTTCCCCTCGCTGTCATTTTGGCAATACTGAATTCATTCTCTGCCCCTCGGAAATTAAGTCACAATTATCATAAATTCTCTGTTCCTCATAAATAAAGTCACTGTTATCTTTCAATCTGCAGCGGCTCTACTTGTGTCCATGCTGCTGATTTCTATTCTAAACCTGCAGGATCCGGTCTGAGATAAATGTGTGTCGTGCACACTAGAATTGAGCTGAAAATAGCATCAGTTCATAGTTACAGGAAACCCTCAAACTAGAGTAAAAGTATTTATATGATTCTTAAAGGGGGGGGGATCAGCTGTTTTGATTAACTTGAATGGAAAGTACAAGCTTCACTTTAGATTGAGCAAAACAAACACTATCTGGGTATTTTTTGGCTTCGGCGTGCGTAGAGTGCACAAGTGGTGAAGTCAGAGGTTTGCACAGCTGGGCCGCGCCATGGAAGGATGTGGCGAGATTAGAAGAGCCTGATTAACAGAAAACAGACCAGAGGAAGAAGAGTATCCCTCCATCTCTTAATTCCCTTCACTTGCCTTGATCTCACTCCTTGACACAGAGACAGAGACACCGACGGGCCTTAGCTCTTCTTGTCCTCCCCTCGTTTTAGTTCAGGGGAAAACATCTCGGAGGGCATTTTTCAAATGTTTTCCTTGGTGCTCACATCCAGTGTCGCATCAAGCTAAACCAAACAGAGAACAGGGAACTGATCTCGGAATCCCTTTCGTATCGTCACAAAGCGTCACAAATTCTCGTGAGGCGGCGTGCGCGGCGCGGGCTGCAATTCTTCCGCTCGTCATCCCACTGAAGGCCTTTGTTTTCACCAGATGTGTGATGATTGGCGGGCTGAGGGAGTATTGTCTTTCTTTTCTGCATCGCCGTTACAGTAAATGATATCGGATTTCAAAGAAGAGTGATGTTTTTTGTTGAATGTTCTCTGATGTTTATATGGATGAACAGATCGGTCAAAGGGAGTTTATTTTGAATAAATCAGTAGCCTTCGAAAGAAAAACACAACTTTGCTTTCATGCTGGTTCAAGATAAACTTTAAAACCCCCGATACAACGCACATCTGGCTAAAATGTCAATGGACCACATCCACAGCAGCACAATCTTCTGTCTTTTTCCGACTGCTTCCACGAGGTCTGGACCGGGGAGAGGCAGCCTGATGCGAGGAGTGAGTAATGCTGACTGGACAGCAGTCTCTGCATGGTGCATCAGCAAGCCGCCACATGTGTGTACGTTACTCCACTTTTCTCTCAATCTATTACGGGCATTTTACGAGACTTTAAAACAAGGAAACACACCTATTAAATCAACCTGCTTTTTAAGATGGAAGTGCCGACCTTAGTTGGCTCAACAAAAATAAGAAAGCTCGATTTTTCACAGTTGCCAACTGGAGATTATCGTTAACTTTGTAAATAAACTGGTCAAAGACAACCTACCATTTCAAGGAATGTTCATAGACACTTAAAACCCTTTAGCCATGTAAACTGATGGTAAGTGTTGATGGCCATGTAGAAGCTATTGAAAACAGCGCTTCAAAACACATAATAAAGTGACGTTTTTAATTCTTAGACTGCTTCAAATAAAGGCCTGAAGAAAGGGGTTTGTTGTTTCCTCCCTAATAGTCTGCTGCGCTTCTGCTGATGTTCTCTGACATCGTATAACTGTCTGAGCTGCAGCAGCAAAGACCAGAAAGCTATACATAACAACTTTATTTTCAGGCCCAAGTTTGTTTTCACGGTCTGCTCTGTGGCGTTAGCTGCTAAAAAGGGTTAAGGTCAACTTCTGCAACACGAGGAAGTTGCTCAGGCGCAAGAACAAAAAACGTGTAAGACGTGTAAGGGAGTTTTGTTTTTGATGTTTTCTTTGCACAAATAGGTAGTCGGCCGCGGTGATACTTGTGCACTGTTTGCCTTCCTTTATCAAAGATGCTATCTGTCAGGTGTTAAGTGACTTTGGTAACAATGGGAATAACTGAGAATGTAAATTTGCCAAGAATAGACATAGCTGGACAGAGGAAGTTAAAAAAAAAAACGTCTAACAGTTTCTTCCTCTTTTTAAAAAAATTTTTTTCACTTCTTCTCCAACACCAAACGTTTTAGACGTAAAGTTGCACTTTCAATTATTGAAAGCTCTTTAATGCGATTCGGATGTCATAATGAAAAAACCCCTGAGGGCATATAAACAGCAGGAGGTATCTACCTCTGGAGTTGGTAGAGACCAAAACAAAGCTAAAACTGCTTTATGTCGCCTGGATTTCTAACTAATATTTTCAAACATATTGTCCACAACAACTTGTATGAAAATGTTAATATGGCAAACAAACAATTAATGCACTTAAGTCGGCGTCACATCCATTCAACAATGTAACATTTATTACAGAACACAGGAAAATAGTTTGAGAGCCACTAAAACTCATGTTACCAAACAATATCCATGTGCAGAATACACATTAGAGTTCATTGTGCCGCCGTCCAGTTCAATTCCATCAAGATCCGTCTTATTAGCTGAGTCGAAGCGCAAGTGCTTGAGCTGTTTTATCTTTAAAGTATTTCAAAGTGCTTAGAAACTAACACACTGCAATGTTCGGGATGCTTAAGCACACATTTAGACCCACTGCAGACATCAGAGAAGTGGTGGATCTGAGAGAAGGAAGCCTGGTGCCGCTGCTCCACTCTCTGGAACCTGCTCTCCCTAGAAGTCATCTTCATAGTCAATGTTTTCGATGGCGTTTTCAGGGAGAGCGTAAAGAGATTTGCTCTTTTTCTTCCTGCTTTGTGCTCTCGTCTGCGCCGGGTTCTGATTCCCAGAGAAGGACAGGTAGGCGGCGATGCTGTTTCTGACTCCGTAGCTCACCGCGTTCTCACTGCAGGGCTCTGTGCTGACCAGCTGTCTCCTGTGGAGGGAGGAGACGAACCGAATGAGGGACGACGGAGCAGCTCGGTATTGGGTTTTTGAAAGGAGTATGAAAAAAGAAATGCACATCTGTAATAATTCATTTGCCAAAGAAGTCATCTGACCGCACGCTGACAGATTCAAACTGCTACACATCACCCCAAAAGCCTCGGATGTACCTGTCTATTTTCTTCCAGTCAAAGTTCCGTCGCATGACCACAGGTGGAGGTCCAGGAGGTGCGTCTGATGGAGGGGTCATTTCCGACAGACAGGGGGTGGTTAATGCGCAGCACAGCCCATCGGCAAAGTCTGCAAAAAGGACAGAGGGGGTAAAATGACCTAGTGATTATATGGCATACTTATTTGTAGGTCATTTCCTGTTTTGTTATGAAGAAACCCTGCCGTCGTAGCAGGAAATAAGAATGAGGTCTATTTAGAGAAAATGATGGCTGATTGTCGGTTCTTGTACGTGCTATTGAGTCCTCGTGTGCGTGTGACCAGCGCCACACGTAAAGGCGCTTGTTTCCTTTTTGTAGCTTTTAGAATTGCGTCACTCTGTTTGGTTATCTATTTCTGTGTTTGTGCATCCACCCACCACAGTAGTGGTTGACCATGTCTTCAAGGCACTGGAAAGTGAGCCGAGGAGAGATGTAGTACCAGCTGTTGTCCAGTCTGAAGATACGATAGTGCTTTACAATCCGGTGCTTCACAGAGAGCGAATACAGACCTGCGTGTACAACACGAAACATGCACTTAAAACAGAAATATTTCCATCACGCTGAGCTTCTCTGTGCTAGGAAACAACCACACAATGGTATCAGAACTCTAAAAACGTCAAGGATTATTAACTGAGTCAAACTCAAAGGTTTGTGACGAAGTAAAAACAGATGCAACAGGAATTTGCAACCACGTCTCTTCACTGCTTCACTGTGGATTTTGTCATTAAGTGCAGAAGAGACGTTTTAGATCAAATATCACCGCACTTTCCTACAGAGAGTTGGTTGAGAAGAGAAAGCGACACCAAAGCTGCTTAACTTGATTAGCTTAATTTTAGCATAAAAACACGACCCAAGAGTTCAAAGGTCCAAAATTACAACATCAAATTCTATTATTTTTTCTTTAATTTCATGCAAAAACAATTGTAAAACTATGAATTCTTGCAGCTCTGATTCATAACTAACCCTGAACCAAAAAAAGTGAATAAGGATTTTTCCGAGAAATTATTTCCGCTTGTCAATTTTTCTTGTCAACGTCACACCGGTCTGATTTCGCCGCGCGCTCACTTCAAGTCAGAAGTCAGACCAAAGTAACACACCCGCTCGGGGACCCGACTGTCCTCACCTCTTTCCTTGGCGCTCTCCCGTATCATGAAGGAGCCGACTCTGTTCCCGGGTAGAGAGAGCAGCTCTTCGGCCTTCTGCCTCTCAACCCCTTCATACAGCCAACTGGGCACACAAAGACATGCTTCAATCAGTAAAAAGACATTCTTATTAAAAGCTTAACATGCACGCAGGACAATCTGCTTACATCTCCTACTTCCTGAGATCTCAGATAGCGTGGTGGAAAAAGATGCATTTGGTATTTTTGCTAAAAATACCCAGCAAATTCAACCAGGCGTATTTTAGAAGATGGTGTCACTATTATTCTACTCACCCGTGGTATACTTTTGCCGCATGGCTTTGGGGTATGTAGTTCTCATTTTGTGTCCGGACACAGCGTACCTTCCACCAATAAGCCTCCCTGACCACCGTGAAGAATCAAACAGGAATCAGCAGCAGACCTGTTTTTTATACACTTCTCCATACTACAGATTCAGAGCCTCAAGTTACAAATTAGACCTCAAAAGCGTGATCGTACTTAGCGATGAGTCGGAGCTTCTCCCCCATCCTGTAGATGGGCTCGCTGACGTCAGGCGACGGGTAGTCCCGAAGAACCACCACGATGTCGTCCTCCGATCCTGCCAGGCACAGTGATTATCAGCCGCACGCTGACGCACAGATATCATGATTTGGTAAAGTCCAAACCTCCGAAATGATGGCCAATTCCTTTTATTCCGTTTTTATGTTTGACATTATTTTTGAACGTCGATGAAGATCGTGAACCACGCTTGTCAAACATTACTGAGAGAGAAAGATTCCTCCATGCAAAATACTCTTATGTTATTCATCTATATGTTAACGTTTAAAAAAAGAAGGATAACGTTACCTTTTACAGAGCTGTCTGCGTTGACTTCGCCCGTGGAACTCGCACCTCGCGTGATATTCCCCATCCTCAAGACGGACCACACTCCAGCCTGAAGAGAGGGCCCACGTACAGATCTACTGTCAATATACCAAACAATTCCCACTCCATGCACCAGTATATATTTATAGCACTAAACTTCTCTTTGCTGGTGCACCACAAAGTTTCTAACTTCCTTTAAAACTGACCATTTAACGAGCTCAGCTGATAAGCTCTTTGCAGAATGGGGAAGCAAACAAACAATTTCCCACAACGACGCCTATCTCCGTGTACCGACAACCCGCGTGTTTAACAATTCTGAATGCATAGATTGCAAAATGCTGTTTATCATTTGCGTTATGATGAATTTCAACGGATCCTGCCGAGGTGGCAATACTCTCACGCCCCGTCTTGAGAAACAACAGCCCCGTTGCTACAGAAACCACCAACAGAGACGGTGGATGGGAACGAAAAGCTCGACGCCTACCTGTGGAACCTTTGGCCGTTTTTTGATAGGCATCAAGTGTGGCGAGAGAGACGGCGGTCCGGGCGAGGCATGGCGTCAGCAGTGGGGTCCTGCGCTAGAGAAGTCCCATGTTTATAAGAGACACACCAGCAGTGACTCGTCATAGAGTGTGGCGACAGCGACTGCATCAGGGTGCAAACTCACTTCCTGTAATGAAATGAGGAAGAGAGCCAACGCAACACAGCATGAAACCCACAACGGGCCTCAAATGGTGTTTGGTGTAACTGTCAGGCAACACTGCAGGCTAATGTTTTCCTATTCACATTTTCTTATCTCTTTCGGCAGCCACAGAGGTATTTGGAAAATATAATTCAAAGTCAATTGATTCCCAGAAGAAATGTGTGATTAATGATTTGAGCTATTTACATCACACCAAGCATGATTCTCCAGCTTATCTGATGCAAAAATGCTAAACCTTTCATTGCATGTGACGTAACCTTGGATTCAACAATAACAATTTGCATCTTTCTATCAATGGAACACTTGAAGGAAAGCTTCAACATGTTTGTACACACATAAACATTTTTATACATTAAATATGTACAGGGTCATCCAACACTAACGCGATGTACCACACCTCTAAAAACATACTAAGACATGTAAGACTGTGTCCTGGCCGGGACCAGTCGTTGGGTAACCAGCAGAGGATACAGGAAGTTACTGGTTCCTGGAAGATAGTGGCTTTGGCGTTGTGAAGCTGTGATGTGAAAAAAGCCACCTGACTTCATATTCACCGTGCTGACACGAGACTGTTAGCCGTCTTCTCCTCTAATTCCCCAAGTGATCAAAGCAACAACAGGTAAATGCAAATGTCCCTGTATTGTCAGCGAGTTGTAGAAGATGAGATGTGCGAGCAGCAACAGGCTGAACTCTCCTTCAGGCCATTTTTGTCATCAGTGGAACAAAATGAATTCCTGATTCCTTATTTACGTTGTGACATGTTTTACGCTGTTATTGTTAGTCAGTAAACTAAAGCTTGTTTTGGTCCAGAGGAAGTCAGCGTTTACCAGCGCTCATTCTCAGGCATCCAGACATCCAGACATTTCATGTGACACTGTGCTGGTCTGGAAACGCTTCGTGCCAAAGGTTACAGGGAAAGCACAAAAAATGGACGTGTTAAACTCTTCTCACTGCTCAATGATTGTGTGTCACCCACAAACAAAACTGGAAAAAAGAGTTGTGACTGAGACAGAAATGCAGATAACGTCTCTAATCTCTCAGGAATCTTCCCACCTACAAAAGTGAAACTGGAAATGTGCTCCTCTTACCTTGAGCTGTTTGGTGTCCACATGTATCTGAGAGTGCTAAAGGTGAAGTTCAAATTGGGGAACCTAAACCATCCAGTTTCAGATGGATGGTCTGACTTTCCTTTCCACCTTTGCTCATGATGGTTCCCTGTCCCACTCCTGCTGTGATTAATTACACCTCATTCGTATCTACCGACGGGGGGGGGTCTATGTTTCTCTGTGCCACACTGAACTACTCTCAGGTAAACGTGTATTAGCTGATTTATTTTTCTGATAATCCAAGTTAAAACCTGGTCTGCTCCAGACCTTTAGGCAAACATCTCATTCCACCTTCCCTTTTCTCTATGCGAGACAATTAAACAAACCCTGAGCAAGCACGTAGTCTCATTATTCGATTGAACTTCTCTTATCTTATCATCACAGTGGATTCGCTCTGGGGTTTTAAAGTCGTGACAGATATTAGTTGTGACAGTCGTGACAACTTGCTGTCAGTTCCCTTTGTTAGTTTCCTGCTGAGTGTTTGTGTGTGTGTGTGTGTGTGTGTGTGTGTGAGAGAGAGAACCACACAGAGACAGTTCTGAAAAGATATTCCTCGGATAAAGAACACAATAAGCGTACTTCAGATGATCTAAAGTGAACTGCAACGTGTGAGTGTTTCTTCAGGTTGTTGACCGGCGAGCTTGCTGGGTGGTGGCTGGTCTCAGATGCCAGGACTCTTGACTGTTGTGACTGCGAGGGAGGAAGGAAGTCTTCCTCTTCGACGGAAATAAATACACGGCCCATTTGTAGCTTGTGTGTGGTGATGGTGTAAAGAGCTCAAAGAAAATCATTGAGACTTTTTTTGAAGTCGATTTGTATTCTTTAGTGATCCTACAAAAACATAAAACATACCATCTCACTGACCCTTTTCTCTGACTGTTTGTGTACTGTGTATGAAAGATGTGTCTCATGGGGAGGTGCAACAAAGTTCAGGATCAATCAATATATGTAAACATTGTGAGAGAGAAGTAAGTGTATTGTGTATTCAAATCATGTACTTTAATAAAAAGGATTAGTATTAAACATGTATTGAAGTCCAGTCCTTGAGTAAAGCTCTTAAGCTGCACGTTGTGCTTGTGCTATAAAAACAATACCAGGGATTTCAGTGAAATGGGAAAAATGGCAAAACAGACGAAGAGAAAAGAAAGGAATATATTTGTAAGCGTATTCAGGCACATGAGGCTACTTCATACTGGATCATTTCCACCTTGACTTCAGTGTTTTTCTCCTTTTTCCTGCTCCTGTCACTGGCCGAGCCTGGGCCATGTGTTTTTCTTTAAATGAGTCACTATTAGACATAACACAGGTGAAACTAAACCACTGAGACCGTTCACACTGACCACCAGCTCAATGGGCTCTTTGTTACATGAGGAGGAGTAACGTGTTGCCCAAATAGTTCAGTTAATCAAAGGAGAGATTGACTTACCTGAATTAATACTCTTTATATAACTGGATAAGACGAATGACAAATTACATGAACAATGTGGTAAAGGCCATAGAGAAACAGGAAAATGCCGGTGAGCATTAAGCTGCCACGCACCACACAAAACCATGAATTCAAATATTATCTTATTTATAGATCTGCGTCTTCTCGAGTGAATATAAAAATGTGCTTGTTACAAATGTTTTTGTCCGTAAAAACTGTGCAGCGGGTGTTTGCAGAAGTCACGCCGGCAATCGAGCTGTCAGAGACTCTCCTCACATGTATAATTGTGAAACGGTCTGCATGACTGATGTCTCAGTAGCCGCTCATAACACACGTTTGGGGGAAGTCTGATCCCCATCTGTGAATATGATGATTTGCAAGCGTTTATTCTGGGCCATACGGTCTCTCTCTGTCTCTCTGCCTCTTGTAAAGACAGATGCTGTCCGCCTGTGGCTGACGTTGACCACAGTTGCCATTGGCTGCTGTTTGGGGGACTGGATGCGTTTGAACATTTCAAGCAGAAGTCACTACCACGCCCTCTGTCTAAAATTACTGTAAGGAACTCTCCTTATAATTATTTCTTTTTTCTAGACATCTAAATCGAGACGTGTTCATGTGCCTTTAAGGCTCTTTAGCGGGCAGTGGAAGCAAGCGCGAGTCGTGTTATAATTAATCTTTCCTCGGTTCCTCTTTTCTTAAAAATGTTGCACATTTCACACTGATAGTTAGCTCCCATGTGGTGGTTGGGTTCTCTCGCTGAGTGGCATCTAAATACGATCTGACTCCTCTGGACTCCAAACCACAGGATTGACGGGAACAGGGTGTGTGTTGCTATATGGGAACATGTAGCCTGCAATTATTAATGTACATGGTCGCTGTGTGTGGGTCATTCAGGAGCATCTTATCCACCAAGCCATCTTCACAATTAACCATCCATTACTTTAAAAATATTTCCTGAGAATAATCCTCAGACGGATTTTGTTAAAAGTGTTTTTTTCAGCTTGCTTATTTAGAGATTTAAAATAAGTATAATAACATAGCGTCTAATCCACAAGCTTTAGCAGAATCATTTTGGTGATTTTAATGGGAACATAATTGGATGAAATTGCATTAAGAAATCTGAGCCTGCAGCAGCAAACCACCGCATCATTATATACATACGAACTATAGGTCTTTGATCAACAACTTTTAAACATGAAAACCTTTCCAGACTTGAAACATTCATTCCAGTCGGCTGACATAATGAGCCTGACTTAATGGCTTTTTTCTGCCGTGTATTGGAAAATATTACTCAAAAGGATTCCAGCACTGACATTACTGTGAACCACGACCACCACTAAAATAATCCAGGACAGGGCCATGCGATGGCACCTCATCCAGCCGAGGTAGTTAGAGGAACTGTAAAATAACCAACATGGGATACTGACATTCCTTTCCTATCATATATTGGTCTGGAATCTAACAATGAAACCCATTTCTGTTTCTGTTTCTACATGATCAGCCTTTTCTCAGCAGTAGCTGGAAAAATAAGTCTTTAATTAACTTACTTGCAATTGCATTTTTACATGCATAAAGGATTCAAGGGAAGTGATGCATCATATAATCCAGGGTTACTGCATGCTGTCCTCTCAACGCTGTGTTCATTTGTTTTCACTCAAATAAGGGCGTTTCAGCTTATTTGTCAGTGCAGTTAGCGCCAAAGCTAATAACTATTTAAACAATATAATTATGTTGGCCGCAGCTGCTCTTCTGGGATATATTTGGACACAATCTCTCAGACACTTTCTGCCGCTACAGTAGCTATAGCTGCTGCAAACTCAACCAGAAATGAAATGATTACAACTTTTGACATGATGCATTCATGCAGATATGACATGATGCATTCATGGCAGAGGTGTAGACTTACAGTAATTGTGACATTAAACCAAAGGTGTGCTCTACAAAGAGTGAAAGTGTTATGAATGCCAGCGCATCGTTCAAGCTCTGTTGTCATCAATCTCATGAGGGGAACCTGTGTATTCTGGAAGCCCCGCCCTCTACATGCACGCTTACACACGCACACATATCAAGGATAATACCAGCTTTCACATACAGGGTATGGTAACTATTGGTTACCTTGCCAGCCAGACCCGGCCTAGCCCATAATGAGAGTCTGCATCAGTGGACGCAGTCAATCCCTCTTCAGCGATTCAGATGGGAGTTTACCGCCGCGTCATCATCCATTACCCAGTCATTATATGCCAGCAGGCTATTTTCGTGATGCATGTTTTCATTGTGCACCTGTGAAAGTGTATCCACCCCCTGCAAACATTTGGGCACACAGCTGTTTTTAAGATCCCCAAAAAGACCTTAAGAAGACCACTAATTCGGTTGTAGGCTTTGGTGTAAAGCATGTGTTTGCTACATGTAACG